AAGCAACGAGGGTAGGTTCTTGTCCTCACCGAACTTAGGGGCCGTCAGAGGATGTGCTGAAGATCACACTAATGGATACATAGTTATACTTAATAATAAAGGCTATGCATGCATGCATGTCTGTCATCCCAGTACTAAGGAGGCTGAGGCAGCAGGATTGCTGTGAGTTCAAGGCCATACATAGCAAAACCCTGTCTCAAAAAGAGAGAGACAGAAACAAAGGAAGGCAGGCAGGCAGGAAGGGAAGCAGGAAGGGAAGGAGGCAATGGGGCCTCTGTGGACAAGTACAATGTGCTCTAAGGGGACGGGGGCTCAGGCTGGGCTTCTAGGTCTCCACCGCGCCCTCCTCTTATGAATAGAGATAGGAATTAAAGCTCCTTGCTCCTACCTGGGTACACAGGAAATGCACAGTGAACATTAGCTTGTTACTGTTTTTCTTGCCACCTCCTACCACTTAGCAAAGGGCAGGCGTCCCTGGAAGTACAGGGAAGCCTATGGTGACCTCATCTGTTTGCTTAGCCTCTGTCTTAGTCCATGAGGAGACAGCCAGAGAAAGGAAAGAGCTACCCGTTCTTTGCACCCCACTCTTCCCAACATGCTGCCAGACCCTCACAGATGCCCACACCGACCCTGGCCACAGCCATGGACACAGCTGCTAGTACAATACCCACCCTGCAGCTGGGGAAAGTGAGAGCCACAGAACAGGCAGTAGCCGAGGGCAACACTGAGATGAGAACCCAGAGGAGCTGGGCCCTGGACCTGTGTCCTTCCTGCCACCAGCAAGTGGCCAGAGCAGCCAGTAGTTGAGTGCAGCAAAAACAGAATAGCAACACACTGGCACGCACGCAGATGCCCCACAGCTGAGACTTATTTAAATAAACTACAGAGGGCCAGGGATTTGGCTCAGTGGTTCCACTGCCTGCCTCACAAGTGCAAGGACTTGAGTTCAATCCCCAATACCAAATAAATACATAAATAAACTGTAGAATAGCCAGCTGGGCACAATGATATACACCTGTAATCCCAGCACTCGGAGAGGCTGAGGCAGGAGGATCGCTGTCAGTTCGAGACCAGCCTGGGCTACAGAGTTGAGTTCCAAAGCAGTCTGAACTACATAGTGAGGATCCTGTCTCAAAAAAAAAAAGTAGACAAATGCTTTCCAAAGCCAAGCATGGTGGCACATGCCTATAATCACAGCATTAGGGAGACTGAGGCAGGAGGATCACTGTGAGTTCGAGACCAGCCTGGGCTACATAGTGAGTTCCAGCTCAGTCTCAACTACATAGGGAGACCCTGTCTCAAAAAAAAAAAAAAGACAAATGCTTTCTATACTCCCATTTGTGTGTGGGGTGGGGGGGGTGTTTACCATAAAAAATGTATATCTAAAATTATTACAAAATGAATGTGAAGCTCAACTCACAGATGTGCAAGAATCAGAGCATCTGTTAATTGCTTTAGATCGAGCTTCTGCCCAAGAGCCCTCCCACCAGGCTGCCAGGGAAGCCAACCTCAGCTGCACTCCATGCCCCCCAGGACCCGGTCAGGAGCGTGAAGTCCTTGAGTCCCACATAGCAGCAGGGCAGTAGGCAGAGCAGAGAGAAGCAGCGTCACTGGATTCTGCCACAGCCCACCAGGGCCATCAGCAAGGAGGGTGCCGGGCCCTCTGAGGCTCGCCAGCTCCCCAGCTCAGTACGCTCAAGGAACCCCACAGCCCTCTGCCTCCTCTCTCTGGGATCAGGTTCCCTCTGAGCTCCGGCTCCTCACCAAGCCGCACATGGCAACCAGAGTGGGGGAGGAAGTGGGTTACCTGTGTGCTCTGCAGGTAACATCTCTGCTGCTCCCCACTCCGCGACGTACCTCCCTCCAGGCAAGAAGCTCCAGACCTTCTTCAAAGACTCTTTGCAGTTCCTCCTGTTAGTCATCATGCATGGATGTTACAGGAACGTACGTAATCCATACATATGTGCTGTCTGAGGGTGCACACTGTATGCTATTGCTACCCATAGTCCAGAGCTCTACAGACAAGTTTCTCTTGCTTACTGTTCTTAACTATCACTAAAATGCATGAACATCTCACTAATGATAGAAGTACATGCAGCTGCAAGAAACTTCCTACCCGACTAACCACACTGGGGCTTGTTTTCTGAAGCCGGTGGAGCAGCACTGATGCAGCAGCTCCCGCTGCATGGAGGAGCCTCACTTTTCCTTTTCTGAACCACCACCCTCACCGTGTTGGTTTCTCTCCCAGCTTTGTTGCATCACTGTCCCAAGATGACTGCTGCAACATCAGCATCATTTTGTGTTAAGAAAAGGGGAGCCCAGGGGCCAGGATTTAGCTCAGTTGTTCTGCCGCCTGCCTCACAAGTACAAAGTCCCAAGTTTGATCTCCAATGCCAAAAAAAAAGCTTCATCACTTCTCAGACTTTTGGCTAAGATTAAGTGTAGAAAAGGGAACTGGGGTAGTGTGTATTTATAAATCCAGCATTCTTGGAGGCTGAGGCAGGAGGGTTGCAAGTTTGAGTCCTGCCTGGGCAACTTGTGAGACTTGCTCAAAATTTTAAAAAGGACTAGGCATGAAGCTCACTGTGAAGGCCTGGATTTAATCCCTAGTACCACAGTCAATCATCAAATGGGGGAATCACCAGCGAGCACCTTGTAACAGGAAAGCAGACACTTTTGTGGAAAGGTACCTCAGCATTTCCAGTTCGATCTAATAAGCCCGCTGTTTTCTGGAGCCCCCTCTAACTCTCAGGGAAGCTGCAAAGTGACCAGTTTTTCCAGACTTTGTGATAAAAAGGTGGAAAAGTGGGGAGGTTGGAAATGTCTATTGGTTAAACACATTGTCCATGCATGAATGCATAGGGCTTTATAATTTACAAATCAGCTACTGTTGCCTTTTTTTTTTTTTTTTTTGGTATGGGGGATTGAACTGGGCACCTTGCGCTTGCAAGGCAGGTGGTGGAACCACTGAGATAAATCCCCGGCCCTACTGTTGCCATTTTATGGAAACTGCAAAGTCCAGAGAGATCAAGCAACCTGCCTAAGGTCACACAGCTAGCGTGATGTATACAGAACTAGCTGAGCCGGGGGCTCATCTCAGTGGACCACTTGCCTCTGCCTGGACAGCACCCACAGCCTGGGTACAGAGATGCCCAGGACAGGCAGGGCTGGGGCATTATGAAGGAATAGCAGGCCAGGCCTGGGGACAGGGACAGGTGTCTGGGGACAGAGTACAGGTCCTCAGGGACAAGGGCAGCTCCTCCCCTACCACAAGTCAGCACACAGAAGAGCTGGAGTCTCGGAGGTTACAAATGTGAGGGCGGGAGTGACAGGGAAGAGGAGGAAGAGAGGAGGTGGCTGAGAAAGGGCAGGCGACGGGTAGTGGAGGCGGAGGAAGAAAGGGGGTGGAGGACAAGGAGGGGACAAGCGGGAGCCACAACGCTGGGCAGCAGGAGACAGGGGACACCCAGCTGACAGGCCGACTGGGCTTTGGGGAGGGCGGGGAGTGGGTCAGGCCTGATCGTCAGCCCCAGCCCCACCTCGTGGACCACCAGTTTCGAGAGTATGACGAAGGCCTCGCCAGAGGAAGAGCAGGCCACGGAGACAGAAGAAAGGCCCCTGGGGTGAGGGACCAGGCAGCTTCTCAGAGGAGGCAACCCCTGCACCGGGCCCTTTGGTCCATCCAAGCGCTGCCCTAGCCCAGCCCCTGGCCTGTATCTATTGTTCAGCCTATGTTTGCTGAATGAATCATTTGAAAGCTGTAGAGCAATGAGCCTATGTCACTCGTATAAATGCACAAAGGTCACCAAAGGTGAAATACAGAAAGCAAGGAAGTTCGTGTGTCCAGCCTGCCCCGTGGAGCTGGGTCTCTTCATCTGGGAGGCCCAGAGGACAAGGGCACCCTCAAGACCTGTTCTAGCAGCGACAGAGGCCTCCCTCAGCCACTGCCCCACTGTAGGTGCCCGGGCCCTGCCTGCCCCAGCTGCTCCCTGCAACTTCACCCAGGGAAATCATCCTAAAATGACCACTGCCCTGTGACTGCAGCTCAAAAGCCCCCAGGGCTCCCACCCTCAGCCCACACCTTCCATGCTCCTCCCTGGCTCTAAGACCCTCTGTGTCCGTCTCCTTCCCAGGGACCATGGGGCCCCTGCCCGCCATCTCTCCCAGCTCACACTTTCCTCCCCACCCACATCCTCCCCACACCCGGCCACCTCGCACTTCTCATGGGTCCTGGACCTCCTTGTGCCTCCTTTCTGCCCGGGGCTCTGTCACTCTGGGGGCCCAGCTCCCCCTGCTCATGCTCCAGAATGTCCGCCCTCCTGGCCCACAGGTGGCTCCTCGGTGGCCCCACGGGCCCCTGTGCTGCCTCTCTCCCTCCCCGCACTCACCCCACAACCCATCTGTCCCCTGCACCCGAACTGTGTCCGTGCCTGCTTGGCTGCCCACAACTGAGGCGGGAGTGGCCCTCGCTCACGACCAAGTCACCCAGGGAGCCAGGAGCTGACGCGACCTCTTGAGTGCCTGCTGAATCTCACTCTGCAGAGGCCGCTTCCTGGACACAACAGCCTGCGTCGGAGCCAGGACCGGAGAGGCCACTGGAGCCCCACAGTTCCCACGGTGTGGTGGAGCCAGGCTGGCTCGGCGATGCCAGGGCACGAGAGCCTCCCCCGGTACATGGGGCCTGGGGTTCGGTTGCATCTCCTCTGCGTTCTGCAGTGCACCTGGCTCAAGGCAGGGGACGGCGCCCACTGCAGGGAGGTGAGGGTGTGACTGGGTTCTCCCCACAGACAGCCAGTGGCAAGAGGGACCCTGAGAGCAGCCCCTCGGCCACCTCTGCACCCCACTGTCTCCACACTTACCTAAGGGACATCCACCTCCCTCCTCCCAGCACCTTGGTCGGCCCCTCCTTCCTCCTGACCCCCATTCCAACCTCTCGCTGACCCAGAGCCCTGACTTTCCAGTTCCAGCCCTACACTTAGGGCAGGGACACAGGACGTGGAAGGCACACACAGTCGTGTTTATTGGGCAAAGTCTTAGAGACTCGGTAAGGCACGTGGTCCAGGAAGGGGCCAGGTGGGGAACAGTGGGCTCAGTGCTGGGCACCTCAGTGCTTGCTGCCCTCTGTCTGGCTCTGGGCGCCTCCCTCCTTCAGCCCCTCTCCTGGGCAGGGTGGGGGCTTCAGTCCTGAGAGGGGGAGTGTGGGGGACCAGGGGCAGGAAGGGAAGAGGCAACTCTGCGGTGGCAGGAGGGTGGGGCTCAGGGGTGAGCCTGCTGCTCCTCAGACCCGAAGGCACTGATAATGAGGGACCCAGCTCTGGGGCCAGTCTTGTAGGGGCAGCTCAGCCTGGCTGACAGGGTATAGGGAGCAGGCAATCGGCTGTCATTGAGCCCAAGATACCAAGTGGTCAGGCTGCAGGGGCTGCCTCAGCTGAAGTCGCGGTTGGGCAGGAGCAGGGGCGCCACCAGGGTCCACAGGTAGAGGAACAGCCCTGCCCAGCTGGCGCAGATCTTGACCCACACAGCGGTCCACGTGCTGATCATCTTGTGCATCTCGCCGGGTCTGGAACACACCGTCTTCCTTGTGACCTACGACCTACACTGGCTCTCACCCTAGAACTCTAGTCCCAGTCTCTGATGTTTTGGCCACTTGGCTTTGCGACCCTGGACAAAACATCATACAACAGACCTGACTCTGACCTCAATTTTGATCTGTTTCTTTCTGGACAGGGTCTCGCTGTGTAGTTCCAGCTGACCTTAAACTCATTATGTAGTGGAGGCTGGCCTTGAATTCAGAGATCCTCCTGCCTCAGCCACCTGAGTGCTGGGATTACAGGCGTGTGCCACCATGCCCAGCTCTCAATTCTGACCTTGATCTGGGGCTTAGACCTAGAAATTGTGACCTCACTCCTGCTCTCTTAATTGGGTGATCCTAATTGTTGGACCTCATCTTTAGTCCCTGACTTCGGGACCCCGCAGCTCCTGATCTTAGTCCTTATCTCTCTAATACTGACTTTGATCCTTGTTCCTATAACCCAGGCTTAACTCCTGAACTTCACCACCCAAATCTTAACCCCCTTGACCCTGCCTCTTCTGGTTTCGTGGCCCCCCAAACCCAATTTTAACCAAACAACCCAGCCCTAGGGTGAGTGTGAGTGTGTGTGTGTGTGTGTGTGTGTGTGTGTGTGTGTGTGTTTTCACTAAATGACTGCTACCCAATAGTCCCCAATTAAAGAGTCAAGCTGAGACCCTGCATGGGCCCAACCCCAGCCCTGAGCCTCACGACTCCTATTCTTGACCTTGTGGCTTTGATTCTGAGCTCCACACTGTAATCCAAACCTCCAACCATGAACCCCAAATGTGACTTCATGATCCACTCCCGATTTGCAAACCAGTGGCCCTGCACAGGCCCAGCCCCTCCTGAGACGCCCCTCGGTCACTTTGTGAAGGCGCCAGGAGTTGAGCAGACGCTAAGGCAGGGGCAGGGCCAGGGCGGGCTCTGTGGAGGGTCTAAGACCGACCCCAGCCCCCAGCCGGAGCAGGTCCGGGCCTCAGGGGGGCATCTGCACCTTGGGCCACCCCTGCCCGCCAGAAGCACACACCTGTACCAGTTGGTGAGTGTCATCATGATGTGCAGGGAGGCCAGCACCAGGCAGAAGTGGAAGAAGGAGTAGCTGTAGGTGACGCCGTCCTGCTCGTTGTCAAACACTCGGCTCTCGCAGGCGGCCACCTGTTGCTGCTGCTGTTGCTGTTGCTCCAGCCCAACTGAGCGGTCCTCTGTCTGCATCAGGCTGTTCACCTGCCGGTGGTCGGAGGAGCGCACGCTGGGGAGAGGAAGTGGTGGTCAGGGCCGCTGCTACCGAGGTAGGAGGGTGGGGAGTGGTGGTGGCCCCTGGAGCCACGGCACTGGTCACAGTGCTGGACACTGATGGTCTCAAAGCCTCGAAGGCCAGCACTGGTCACAGGAGGCAAACTGTTTTGATTCAACCCTACGCCAACTCCCTGTGTGACCACGAATAAACACTGAGCCTCTCTGAGCCCCTCATTCCTCTTCTGTAAAGCTGGGAATAACAGCATGACTCGCCTAGGATGCTGGGAGGACGATGTGAAGATCCAAGAGCTGTGCCAGACACAAGAAGAAGCTAAACAGTCACTGTGGCCGGGCACAGCACAGCACACCTATAGCCCCGGCTGCTCAGGAGGTGACAAGTTTAAAGTCAGCCTGGGCGACTTACTAAGACTCTATCTCTGAACAAAAAATAAAAATAGGAAGCACCCCTGGGTTCAATCCCCAGTAGCCCCTCACAAAAGTCACGATTATTATGATTGTTCGCTTGTCATTTCCACAAACATATTTGAGTCCCTGGTACTGTAAAGCACCAGACCAGGTGCTGTGACAATAATTAATAAGGTTAATAATTGATAACACTCATTTACCATTAACTTTAGGTTTTATTAGTCTTTGGTAATTTATCTTATCAACTGCCTCCCTCCGGGTTTACACTGAAAACAGAAAATAGTCACAGTTATGCTCGTATGTCACTGGTTTCTATGATGACATTTTGAGGTTTTAAACAGAATTTAACAGTCCGAGATAGATACAGTTTTGAGAAACTGGCTAAGCTGCAGGGCACTCTGACCTCCAATGACTGTGGGCATCGGGCCACAGGCGCTGCCCCTGCCTCGCAGTGGCTTCTGACTCTCCGCTGCCTGAGCTTTAGAGCTTCTACGCCACAAGCAGCTGCGATCCAGGGACTCTGGGAGGACTGCAAGTTCAAGCTCGGGCAATGTGGTAAGACTATGTCTCAAAGAATCAGAAAAAGAGCTGGGGATGAAACTCAGTGCAAAGGGCCTGGGTTCAACCTCCAGTTCTGAAAACACACAGAGGAACAAAACAAGCTGTACTGTGGGCACACAGCGCCCTGAGCTGCCAGAAGAGCCCCCAGGGTGACTGCGGGCCGAGGAGGTTCGAGAGCGAGGAGCTGAAGAGTAGGGTTGGTAGGGACAGGGAGCGACCGAGATCCGGGTAGGAGGAGGGCTGAGCCAAGGTGCCCTTGGGAGAGCACAGGGCGGCGCACAGTGCGTGTGGGGCTCTGTGGCAGCCAGAGTCGGTGTAAACAACAATCAGACCGAGTCAGGGTCCCGAGAGGACAGGGCAAGGTCACTCAGCGGGTAGTGCAGACGGTCAGTTCCTTGCTAGGTCTTGTACATAGCGACCTCACACCCTAACCCCCCAGTGAGGTAGGCACTACTTTTACCCCTGCTTTCCTGGGAAGAAAATCAAGGCCTAGAGAAGTTAAATGACTTCTTTACGATCATCCAGCTAGCAGGCTGGTGATGCCAGTCAAAGGCAGGTAGTTTGGGACCGGGGATTTAGCTCAGTGGTTCCGCCGCCTGCTTTGCAAGCGCAAGGACCGGAGTTGGATCCCTGGTACCAAAAATAAAAAAAGGCAGGCAGTTTGGCTCCAGAGTCACACTGATAAGCACTCACTAAGATGTCCCCATGAAAACGTCACAGTGCAGTCAGGCATGGTGTCACACAACTGTGATCCTATGCCCTCAGGAGGCTGAGGCAGGAGGATCACAAGTCTGGAGGCCAGCCTGGACAATTTATTGAGACCCTGTCTCAAAAAATAAAAAAGCCAAACACACCTGTAATTCCAGTACTTGGGAGGTTGAGATAGGCAAGTTCAAGGCCAGCCTGGGCTATAGAGTAAGACTCTATCTCAAATAAATAAATATTAAATAATCTTTTTTTTTTTTTTTTTTTTTTTTTTTTTTTTTTTTTTTTTTTTTTTTTTGGTACCAGGGATTGAACTTGGGACCTTGCGCTTGCGAGGCAGGCAGTGGAACCACTGAGCTAAATCCCTGGCCCCTACATAATCTTTTTTTTAAAAAGCTGGAGATGCAGGTTTCTGCTTTTTTCCTTGGACTCAATGTTCAGCACCTCAAAAGAAAAAGTCATTATGGGGCCAGGGATTTAGCTCAGCGGTTCGGTGGCCTGCCTTGCAACCACAAGGACCCCAGTTCAATCCCCAGTACCAAAAATAAATAAAAAATAAAAAGTCATTGTGTCACTACGTGATCTTCAGCAGCACAAGCTACCTTCTCTCAGGGGAGATTATGGGATCATAGCCACCTCCCCCACTGTGAAGATCATCCTCCTCCTCTTACTGAGGAGGAAACTGAGGCTCAGAAAAGTTAAGCCATTTATCCAAGGCCACACAGAAGGTGAGAAAGAAAGCCTGGGCCTGCTGTTTCCTGTCCAAGCACCTCCCTGACCCCACAGATGCCTGCACCCCACTGAGCTGGCCTGGGTGCAGCCCCCTCTGCTGCCCACCAGTGCTGAGCCCTCAGAGGGACTTGGTTTCCTCACCAGCACAGGCTGGAGCTGGACACACTGCCTGCCAAGGCACCTGTGAGTTTGCTGCCCAGCTCCCAGGTCCTCCCTTCAATGCCAGCTCTGGGCCCCTGCTGTGACCTCCCCAGAGCCCAGAGCCGCATACCTGATGAAGATGGTGCACAGGATGAAGAGGATCAGACCCACGATGCTGGGTGCGTCCCACCACTGGGTCTCGTAGCCCTCGGGGCCGGCCAGCACAGTCTCATTGCTGAGCTGGGTCAGCAGGTGTGGGTTACACTTCTGGTCTGGGGATGGGAGCACTGTCACCCTTGGCCGGAGACAGCCCAGAGCACAGCCAGACAAAATGACAGACAGGCAACTCCCGCCCAGACAACTCCCCCACCTCCCTGAAGGGCTGAGAGCCGGGACCCGTGGGAGCCGGGAGGTCCCTGTCACCTTGAGGGTCCCCACCCTCGGCCAGCTGCTTGGAGGCCATACCCGAGCCCTTACTCACCAGGGACGTTGGACAGAGCCGACCAGGTAACAAACATGGTGTACAGCGTGACGACCGAGGCCTGCAGCAGACCCGAGTTGGGCTGGGCTTCCTGGCAAGAGCCATTGGTTGCTAAGACCCTCGCTGGATGGGGACATCCCACTCCCACCAGCCATCAGTGACTCCTCTGAAACCCGACCCAGCCAGGCCACTCGCCACCCAAAAGTAGAGTTATCTTCTTCACCTTTACACCCCTGGGGTTATCCCATCCCTCCCTTCCAAAAGCCCTCTAAGGGTGGCATCCAGGAATCAAAGCTTCCCTGTTTGCCCAGTCTCACCTCCACTCTGCCTCCTCTGCCCACGGAACCTGCCAATGCTTCTCCCACCCCAGCCCCTGCCCTCATTTCTGGTACTGAGGCTGAGCTCAGGGCCTTTGCACTGAGCTACATCCTAGGCCTTTTTAAATTTTGAAACAGGGTCTCACTAAATTGCCCAGGTTGGACTTCAACTTGCAATCTTCCTGCCTCAGCCTCCCAGTATAATGAGATGACAGACGTACCCCACCATGCCTGGCCTGTGACTCTCTTCGACATGTTCCAGGCAACGCTCTTTTGTCCCCAAACAGCACCTCCCATGAGGCCCCGGGAACCCCAGTTCCATCAGCCCACTCCCTTTTAGCCCCTACCTGCTTCTATTTTCCACGTAACACTTCATACCAAAAAGTAGCTCACCTGGCCTTGTGCCCTAGTGCTTGTCCTTCCTCACCCCTCGCCATGCTCTTGAAAATATGAGGTGAAGCTATGATTAAGAGCACAGGCTCAGGAGCAGCCTGCCTGGGCTCCAATCCCAGCTCTCCACGTGCAGCCACATGACCATGGCTAAGTTTCTACTTCTTTTAGCCTCCCTTGGTGCATCTGCAGGGTGGGGATGATGACTGTGTGTGGGCCAAAGGACACAGGGGACACAGCCAGGAGCTGCTTGCTGGGTTATCGTTCTTCCTCTTCCCCTCATAGTTTATCCCCAATGCGAGAAGAGGCCTGGTACGCAGCAGGTGCTCAAGAGGACTTGCGGAAGGAACCCCGACTGCGGTGTGACTGCACAGCCACCACCGGCTCCGGGCTTCGACTTTCTCACCCGGAAACGGACACTCTGAGCAGAAGGAGGTCCCTGACTTTTCTGCTGGAGACCACAAGGGCCCTCTACGCTCTCCGGGAGACCTGTACAGTACAGACCTGAGCAGGAAGTAGCGCTGGATGGGGAGGAGGCTTGGGCTGCTTCTGAAGGACACACGGTTCCTCTGGGAGCACCACCCACCGTCTCTGGGACAGCACGCTTCTGCCCTTCCCAGCACGACTCCCTGGCCTTTCCTAATATTCTCCTCACTTGCATGAAAGCAACAAATGATAGCATCCATAATTCTAAGGCCTCCCAGCTAACTGGGTTTGTTTTGTTTTGTTTCCCTCCTGGTACTGGGATTGAACTCAGGGCCTCGCATTTGTGCGACCCAGCTAAATCCCCGGCCCCTCCCGTACCTATCAGCCAGGCTTTGCTCCAAGTGTCAATCCTGAGAGTAACCAGGTATTATTATCACTAGCCCTGCTTTACATTTTCACGGAGAGGGGCACGGAGAGGTTAAGGCGCTCCGCCGAACACAGCCAGCGTGCAGATGTGAGAACTGAGCCTGGGCTCGGGAGGCCATGTGGGAGCCCACACACAGCCCACGCCCTGGACAGTCAGTCCCGGTTCCTACGAGAAGGAAGTGCCACGCGCCGGGGCCGTGGCACGGGCAGCTCACCTGGACCTTGGGCAGGACGGCGACGATGGAGACACACACACAGAAGACGATGTTGAGGCCGATGAAGATCTTGCCCTCGTGGCAGGTGCCGGGATGGGTGTAGTAGATGAAGAGCAGCGTCACAGCCCCGATGGAGAGAGCGTAGAAGAGCAAGGTGAAGAAGAAGAGACCTGGGTGGGAGGTGCGGGGGAGGCCGGCTCAGGGGGCAGAAGGCACAGGAGCCTGATCTCTCGGGGGTAATAAGCTTGGGGACCCGATCGCTGGGTTCCCTCTGGGCCTGTTTCCTTGCTCCAGCAGTGGCATCAGTGTCTTCCACCCGGACCTCTGTGCGCTTCTGCCCAGTTCTGAGCTGAGATGACTCACTCGCCATACAGAGGGGACCCAGCATCAAAGCGACGGCCTCAACAGATAAGTGAAAAGAGCCAGGACGGAGGGAGGTGTGAAGCCCACGCCAGCACCCAGCTGAGCTTTCTTCTTTATGTAGGCACAAGGACCCCGAGCCTGCACAGAGCCCATCCCGCAGCGGGTAGGGGACCAACCACCAGGTGTCCCCGGAACTGAGTTTGGGCAGCGCCTGAAGGGCCTCACATGGCTGGCTCTGTGCGGCCTCTCCTCCGCTCCCTGTGCACACACCCCTCTCCCACCCTGTCCACCTCAGCAGGTTCAGCTCCTGCCCGGGGCTGGGGATGGCTCTCACCAGCCTCAGGCTCCCTGGACCCCTCAGGCCCCAGAGGACAGGCCGGCCGCACTGACCTGCGTACCAGGCTGGAGAGTCACGCTCCTCAGCCTTGCCCAGCCACCGCTGGTTCCAACAGTGCGCAAAGTCGATGAGCAGCAGCAGCTGGATGAGGATGAAGAGGAAGGAGCCCACGACGCCAAAGTAGAACCAGACTGTGGGGGTGGGGGTGGGGGTGAGGGTGAGGCCAGACCTGCAGGCCCTGGAGTCCTGGGACAGTATGTGCCCACGGTCGCCCCTTGGACACATCTATTCAGTCGCCACTGCGCATGCCCTGCCCTGGGGACACTGAGAAGAAGCTGAGGCCACCCTTGGGGAGTGCCAGCCACGCAGAGATGCACAGTGTGGCACAGGATGGACAGGGGCCAGGAGGGCCCCTCACCCTGAGTGCCCAAAGCCATGAGTCCCAGCACCAGTGGGTGCCTCACAGCAAGGGACAGCAGGCCAGGGACAAAAGCAGTGCCCCACACTACTCCCGCCAAGACCCCGGCCCCACTGCCCTCCCATGCCACCTACTCTTGGAGAAGGAGCCATCAGGGATGTAGAAGGCACCCACGGTGATGCCCACAAGGATCAGGAACTTAAAGAACCAAAACCTATGGTGGGGCGGGGAGACAAGAAAGTTGAGTGGAGGCAGGGCCACCAGATGCCAGGTCAGGGCCCAGAACCCCCACCCCAAAGAACAGACCTGGGAGAGGAAAGGAGGGATTTTCTGATGGGCCCAGAGGGGCAGCAAGCAGGGCTGCCCAGTAGTAGCCGGACTGTGTCACCACACACGGTGTGACCTTAGGCATACTGTGGCATAGCCGAATGCACGGCCCCTGTGCTGTGTCCACCTGGAACCACTGGCTCCTGAGGCCAAGGGCAGGGTGTAAAGATCCCTGGAGAGAGGAGAGGAGAAAAGCTCCTGGGGAAGGGCACAGGAGGGTCCCTCCCTCACCCATTCTGGATGGCGGCCCGGGGGTCGTGGCTGCTGCGCACACAGATCATGAGCAGGGTGAAGAGGAAGAAAAAGGCGGCTGTGGCGAAGCACATGCGGTAGGCAGCCCGGAAGCCCAGCAGGGAGCCGCAGTCGATGTGGCCCTGCAGGATGCTGGAGGTCTCGGCCCCCTCACACACCCAGGGCAGCTGTGGGAACAGAGAGCAGCGTGACTGCCTGCCTAGAGCCCTCGGGCAGCTCCCTGGAGACCGGGATCGGTCCCCGCTTGCCCCCAGTCTCCTGGGGTCGCCCCAAGGCCTCGGTGCCAAGCTACACCGTCAAGGCAGGGTTTCCCTGTGTGGCCATCACCCACCGCCCGAGTGAGAGCCCCTGACAGGCTTGGGGGAAACAGAGAGCGTGAGGCCTCCCCGCTAGCCGGGAGTGAGGTCTGAGAGCCCCCATGCCCACACGCTCCCCAGGGGCCCACACACATGTGCATCAAGAAGGCACAGCCCTGTGCCAGGCTGTGAGACACTGGCATGAAGGGGAGTCAGGACCCCCAAGCGACAAGTATAGGATTGTCATGGCTCGTGTCTAGATGCCCCCAGCAAGCCTCATGCTGCCTTAGGTGGGGCTGTTTCAGAGGTGGCTGGATCTAGAGTGTGTGATGTATTCATGGTGGGGCTGGGCCCGAGGGCACTGGGATTAAGGGTGTGAGTTACTGTGGGCTAAATCAACCTTTCCCCCTTTAATTTTGGGTGTTGGGTATTTTGTCTCAGCAATGAGAGAACAAAAACTACGATTTTCCAAAGGGATTGTGGCTGCCCTGCTGCCCTCACCTTGTGGAGCTGACTCTCCACGCCAGGGCTCAGCATGATGATGGACACCAGCACTCCCAGGAGGAGGAAGCTGGTGAAGACCAGGCGGGTCACGGTGGAGTTGTGGCTGGAGGGGCAGCAGGAGCACAGGATGCAGGGTGCAGAGCCGCAGAGGCAGGAGGCCTGTGGGGGGCAAAGGGACATCAGGCACACCTACTCCCCCGAAGCACACAGCACCCACCCCACCACCTGCCTGCCCAGGGTCTCCAGGGCCTACTGATGTGGGCAGAGCACCCTCCTATCCTCACCCCTTCTCGTGTCCATGCTGGAGGGGAGGCTGGGTCACACAGGACCCAGGGACTCACAAAGCCAGCAGGCAGCCGACTCAAAGCGGGACCTATATCAAGTGCTCCCACAGCTTTGGAAAGACACAGCTGGGCTCACACTGTTCCCACTAAGGGAGAGGGAGTGAAAAGCAAAAAAAAAACCAGAAGGCTCAGTCCTGGTTACCTATGTGACCTTATACAACTCACTTGACCTCTCTGAACCTCAGTTTCCTCATCTATAAAACAAGAATCTTAATAGAACCTACTCCTCACAGGCAGCTGTGAGGAACAGGGACTCTCATTTGCAACCCCTTGGATTCTCTCTTCTCCATAGAATGTATTATAGTCTCGCGTCTTGCATTTCACTCGCTTGTCTGCCTCCCCATTCCTACAGGACCTCGAGTTCTGCCTGCTGTGTTCACTGTGCTATTCCCAGAAGTGGGAACAGTGCCTGGCACTTAGTAGGAGCTCATGTACTATCTGTGGAATGCACATAAGGTGTTCAGTGTAGAACTGGATACACGTTAAGAACTGAAGAGCCGGGGGCGTGCCCAGTGGTTCCACCACCTGCCTCACACACAAACACCAGGTCCGGAGTTAGATCCCCATAAAAACAAACACACACAAAACAAACAAAATAAGCACACCTGGTGTGGTGGTGAACACCCATAATCTCAGCTATTCAGGAGGCTGAGGCAAGAGGACCTCAAGTCCCAAACCAATTCTGACGATTTAGGGAGAACATGTCTCCACATTAAAAAAAAAAAAAAAAATTTTTTTAAAAAACGACAGGGTCTTCCTATTTAGCTGAGACTGACCTGGAACTCACTATGTAGCCCAGGCTGGCCTCGAACTAACTGGTCTCAAACTCACAGCGATTCTCCTGCCTCGGCCTCCCAAGTGCTGGGATTACAGGAGTGAGCCACCACTCCTGGCCTGTTCATTTATTTTATTTTATTTTTGTTTGTTTTTTGAGTCAGGGTCTCACTATATAGTTGAGACTGACCCGGAACTCACTATGTAGCCCAGGCTGGTGAACTCACAGGATCCTCCTGCCCCAGCCTCCTGACGGCTGGGATTACAGGCATGCGCCACCACGCCAGGCTCTAAAAAAATGTTTTTAAAGGGGTGGGGACTATAACAGTATTAGCTTGCCTAGCTGCGCTAGGGCCTGGGTTCAATCCCCAATGCTGCAATAAAAAGAAAAAGAAAAGAGAAGAATAGGAAGAGGGAGAGGAAAGGAGGGCTAAGAAAGGGGAAGGGGAGAGGGAGGGGGAGGAGGAGAATAAAGCCCATAACAAATATCTCGCATGCATGGAATTAAAATGCCTATTGGTTACGTCCCACTCGGAGGCTGTTCCAGTTTTGGACAGCAGGCGGCAGTCTAACCGGGCCCTCGCGGGTCCTAGGCTCAGCAGGCAGCCCTCCTCCGGGGCTGGAGAGGCCACACCGCTCACAGCTGTTGGCCAAAGGAGACTCCTGCTCCGGAAGCCCGGTCCAGAGCCCAACCTTTGAGGGAAGAGGCCCCGCATCCAGCCCACTCTGGTATACTCCATCTTTCCAAATACCGTCGTCCCAAATCCTCACCGGGTATCTCAGAGCCTGGAGAGCGAGGCTAGAGCTGGGGGAGGGGAAGACACCGGCCCCGCCCCCTTTAAACAGCGGGGCTGGAGACAGGCACCGGACAAGGCTGCATTTCCCCTGCGCCTTCTCCCCAGACTCACAATGCCCTGAGAAAGCGTGCTTGCTTGCTTGCTTGCTTTTTTTCCCTGTTCTTTTTGTTTTTTGCTTGTTTTTTCTTTTTTTTTTTTTTTTTTTTTTTTTACTTGTTTTTTTTTTTTTTTTTTTTTTTTTTTTTTTTTTTTTTTTTTTTTTGGTTTTTGGTTTTGGCGGTACTGGACATTAAACCTCGCGTCTTCTCGCTTCTCTATATCCACAGCCCTATTTTATTTTTCATATTTTTACCTTTGAGGTACGGCCTTGCTAGGTCACTAAGTTACCTAGATGGGGCTCAAACGTGTGCTCCTCCTGCTTCACCCTCCTGGAGTGCTGGGGTCACAGGCGCTGCCACCATTCCCCAGCTGGAAAAAAAGCTCTTTCTTACCCACCCGTCTCACCTACAAAGCCAAGTAAAGGTGAATTCTAAATGGAACACATACTTGGGGAGTTATTCTGGTTATGTCCTGCAGTTGCTAACACAGCCCAGGGTGAGGGTCGAGGTGGGGGTTGATAGAGAACAAGAATAAACTAGAAAAATGACCATAAGGAGTTATCAGCTCCATTTTACAGATGTGCCTATTAGACCAGAGAAGTTAAGAAACTTACCAGCGTCACACAGCAAGTCAATAACAGCACCGAGATTCAAATATCAAACTGATAGCTGTCAAATATTAAGGTTTAGTCGTGGACATTAAGCCTCATTGACATTATGAAGTAAGTATTTTGTAACCTCCCATTCAAATTGGGAAGCTGAGACTCAAAAAAATTAAATGACTAAGGTCACAAAGCAAGTAAGCTGAGGGGCTGGGATTTGAACCCAGGTCTGTATGCTGCAAGGGCCAGGCTCTGCCCAAAAGCTATACTATTTCCCAGCCCACTAACGCACAAAGCAGTCTCACTTAGAAATGCCATCTGAAATGAACAGACACCTCTCAGATAAAGAAGCAGAAACGCCAAATAAATATACAAAAAAAAAGTTCAGCCTCACTGGTCATTCAAGAGATGCAAATGAAAACAACACTGAGATTCCACCTCATTCCAGAAAGAATGGCCGCTATCAAGAAATCAGCCAATATCAAATGCTGGTGGGGCTGTGGGGAAAGGGATCCCTTCCCCATTGTTAGTGGGAGTGCAGACTGGTGTAACCACTGTGGAAATCAATGTGGAGATTCCTCAAAGAAATAAAACTGGAGGTTCCACTTGACCCAGCTATTCCCCTTCTAGGTATCTTCCCAAAAGAATTCAAAGCATCCTACCCCAGCAATATATGCACCCCCATGTTTATAGCAGCAGTCTATATAGCTAAATCTTGGCCCATCAACCGACGAATGGATATTTTTTTATATACATACAATGGAGTACTACCCTGCCATGAAAAAGGATGAGCTCAATACATTCCTAGTTAAATGGATGCACCTTGAGACCGTATTCTTTTTTTTTTTTTTTTTTTTGGTATCAGGAATGGAATTCAGGACCATGCACTTGCAAGGCAGGCAGTGGAACTGCTGAGCTAAATCCCTGCCCCCTAGACCATATTCTTAAGTGAAATAAATCTGACACACATGTTTAAATATCTCTGGCGTAAGAACTGGAAGTGTAAATAAGGACCAAAATGTCTAATAGATATTGAGAAATGGGAAGCAAATGTTCAAATAAGAAGGGGAACAAGAGAGGGTGAAGGGGGATAAGGATGAGAAAAAAGGGAACAGAAGGGAAAAAATGGAAACAAAGCTTTTGTAAATAAGGTTTGGAAAGGGAAGGGGAATGGGAAAAAAGAAGCAAGATAGATCATGTGCAGGTACAAATTCCCTGTGATGAATGTTATCATTATGTTCATCTAAATGTACCAGTAAAAGAGAGAGAGAGAGAGAAGAAAAGAAATGAAATGCTCAGCGATGGAAACAACCCCTCCAAGGCCAGGGGCAGCAGGGAAGCCAAGCGGCTCTGGCTCCTGGGCCCCAGCGCTAGTCTGCCCCTGACCCTGGCTTGTTCACACTTCAGTCTGAGATACGTGAGACAAGAAAAGCTGCCCCACTTCCCGGAGCTGGCCCTTTCAGTTCACTCTGGTTCATAAGGTCGGAATCCAGGGGTTCCGGACACCTGAGACTTCAGACTTCCGGAGCTGATCCACAGCCACAGGCGGGGCGGGGCAGGAAAATGCACCAGCCCCAGCTCTCCACACCCCAGCTCCAGGCAGCTCCTACATGAACCCCTTTCTCCAGACACGCCAGCACACACACACACACACACACACACACACACACACACAGGCGTGCACATGGACTCACAGAAGTGTGCCGAGGCCACGTCCACAACAGGAAGTGAGGGGACTACGGGCCATGACCAGATGCCTGTCAGACACCAGGGCCTTCCACACGGAGCTCCCTGCCAAATGGGGCGGGGGCGCGGGTGACGCCACAGAGGCGCATTTAATGGAGCATGAATTATACTACAACTACGTTGAGTTCGCAAATATAAAAAGATTGAGATTTTTAAACAAAAACCTAAAATAGGAACAGTTTTAGGTGCTTGTGAGCTTATTAGGCTCTCAAGAAACAGCCAAAGTAACCTAAATGTCCAATACCTGGGGCAGTGTGGTCCATTCACACCTCGGAAAGTTACGGGGCCTTGTGGGCCAGCGCTCAGGAGGCTGCAGGAAAGGCCCAGCAGAGCACAAAACTGCTCCTGCCTAGAGATCACAGCTGCTCCCCACTTCCCCACCATGCACCTGGCAAGACAGCAAGTGGCTGATCCCAAGCACCACCCAGGTCCTCGGAAGGCAGGACTCAGAATTGAGGAAACCCCGGGTCGTACAGCCTGAAAGTGGCTCAGTCTCTTGGCATTCAAGCAATGCAGTCTCCTTCCAAAGGAGAATCACAGGGAGGCAGTGGGCACCCTCCTGCCAGTGATAGCCCATGACTTCCCGAGGAGGCTCTGGGTCCCTGAGCAGTGTGGCTTATGGGAACAGGTGCCAGTCACTCATCATCACACCCTCTCCTAGAATCAGCAATAGAGGCTCTCAGAATCACTCTGGGGCCTGGGTGGGTAGCAGAGGCAGCTCAGAACTGGGCCACAGGGTGTGTCTGTTTGTTTCACTTTGTTTTCCACGCTGGGGATCAAACCTAGGGCCTTGAGCAT